CTCGAGACACCGGTGTATTGCAGCCAGGAGCAGTTCATGTGAATGCTTTTGCAATAGGTCACATGTGCAGCGCAATGGGTCCATCGCTGACTACACGCGATGATTGAATGCTAAAATGAGTGGCAAGTGGTATCTGATTAGCCCTCCTCCTGTGCATCCCACGTTCACGAACCGCACTGACCCGATAATAATAAGGGCGCAAGCCCCCATTCTTCACTGAATGGTGGGGACGTCACCACGGCGCTTGTGCCAGGTTAGATGCACTTTGAGGTCATGTCAAGTGTTGAAGGCTCGCCGATAGGAAGTCACAGGACAGACCAAGGTGTTACGGGTTCGTCGACTGTTCAGATATCCGTCACTCATGTTGGCCGTGAGTTGGAATCAAAATTGAGTAACTGGGTTCATCGTGCAGTGTGCACCACCACTCCCCACTATCCAGCCAACAACAACAACCGCCGTTCAGCACTAGATGATGGTGACGTGACCATGGCGCTTGTACCAGGCCAGATGCACTTTGAGGTCAGGTAAAATGTCGAAGGCTTGCTGACAGGAGGTCACGGGACATGCCCACGTGTTATGGGTTGACTGAGATGACTGCCAGATGCACAATCTGTGCTCCCAACTGTGCCAATTTTCTGCAGCTTGTTGATTAGCTCGTTGTTATGAGTCCTGCCTTGTTTCTGGAGGGCGAGTACCTCCAACTGTCCAGTAGCGTCCTTAACGAGCATCCTCCATAGAGGCCAAACTTGCCACCGCTGGTTTTGGTCATCGACAAGTCCACTCAGCTCTACATCCTCGTCCTGTACCACAATTTCCATTTGGAGACGTCTCAAACTTATTTGCGGGTGCAGAAAAAGATGTTCTACTTCATCGGCTCACTTTCCATCAAATCTATCCACGTAATATCTCCTTCCTGTCCCTACATTTGGTTCCTTCCTCTGGACTCTGATATTTGCTCCCAATATATGACGGCCACTGTATCGTATGTATGTTGAATTTTTTTGCTTCGTACGTAGCCAACAGTGCTAATCGGAGGTGCAGGTAAAGGAAAACAAACTAAAACACCAAAAGCAGTTCTCAAGAAATTTGTTTTCAATCTAGATTTTAAAGTATATACAGTGACTTCTTTATATCAGAAGGAAGAGCATTCCGGACGGCCACGAAAGTGCATCTGAAAGCACGCAATACAAGTGACCGTCTTTGTTAAATGTTTAGCCAAACGCGGCTGCGAGGTTGACCAGAGTTCGTGTGATGGTTTTCGCTCCTCGGTGAGATCAGCAAGGTATTAAATTGGTTACCCTGGGGTAAACGTCGGCTATTCAATTGTGCCGATGATTGTCTGAAGATACCCACGCAGATGTTCTTCCCCTTCGTCATTCAAAACGTTGTATTTTAAATGGATTGGTCATCATTGATAACGCAGACGTCCAACCATCTTGGGCCTCTCTGTTTACACTATCTCAGTTAACAATTGCCTACAACACCATCCACTGTTATGTCTGCTCCAATCCGTGTGTAATATCTCAATTTTGCTGAGACGCTTTTATCTGTGGTTCCTTGGTGATTTAAGTCGAATTCTTAAATTATCACCTCTTGCATAGCACCTGTTGCTGCATATATTAAAAAATATTTCACTGGCTTCGCCTGTAGCCAAGTTGAAACTCGATATTAGTTTAGTTGGCCGTGTCCAATTAGCACGGTTGGCTACGTCCAGTGCAAAAGAAGTTCAACATACATACAAAATATGTATTCATGCTAGAGGAATCCGATTACCTATTAAGCTCTGTTTCACATATGTCCATTAAGAGCAGGTTAAGACGTTACAACAACAAATACACGATAGGAGTGCAAAGTATAGGAAAGGCAAACAAAACACTTATAAAAAGATACAAATAAAACAATTATTACACTGGTCAACACACTTTTTCTGGCATAAGGTATTCCAACGGTTTTAATGTAATTTTGTGGTGCTGATTCCAAATCTGGCATCAGTTTTTGTCTATCACATCAGGTTTTAGAGATATCAAATATTGCATTTTCAATAAAAAAAGCAAATTTATGCTCATATACGAATAGCTAAACAGACATCCATACAAGAATAAGATGAGATACAATCTATATATATAAAATCGCGAATCTGTCTGTGTGTGTGTCTGTGTGTCGCCGGACCATACACAGTTTCATTGGACGGCGGTTGCCCCTGGCAACGGGTAGCGACGCTTTCGCCGCGGGGTGGACGCCATTTTTAATTCCCGTTAAAAATAGGCGCACGCATTAACACGCGACTCTGAGGTAAATTCATCAAAGTTTCACGTCCTCTTCACTCCCCCCCCCCCACCACAATGTGTGCAATTACTATTATAGGGTCGGTAGATTATAAAATTATAGCGATTAGACAGTATTATTGTAGCGCGGGGGGGGGGGGGGGGGGAACGGCACCCGTACCCAGCCTCAGCCGGGTGGGCAATTTAGGCGAGGCCGGAGGCTCTGCACGGTGCTAGGCCTCGACACCCACCACGCGACTCTAAGGTAAATTCATCAAACTTTCACGTCCTCTAGAGAGTGGTGAGGGAGGGAGAGTGGTGAGGGAGGGAGAGTGGTGAGGGAGGGAGAGTGGTGAGGGAGGGAGGGTGGTGAGGGAGGGAGAGTGGTGAGGGAGGGAGAGTGGTGAGGGAGGGAGAGTGGTGAGGGAGGGAGAGTGGTGAGGGAGGGAGGGTGGTGAGGGAGGGAGAGTGGTGAGGGAGGGAGAGTGGTGAGGGAGGGAGAGTGGTGAGGGAGGGAGAGTGGTGAGGGAGGGACTCAGCCTCAAAACGAGTAACTGGTGTGGCGTATTAACATCGCCACTGGGGAGACAAAGGCGGCCGGGCGTGGTGGATCCAAGTCCCGGGCGAAGCCGGGTAGTACAGCTAGTATACAATAATGAAACAAACATTTAATGAGCCGTAGCACAAAGTTGTGAGAGTGACTGCATATCAATGTGAGTGAATGCATATTACCATGTAAGAATTGAAATGTGAAGATAAGAAAAATATGTACAAAAAGGTCATTCACAATAGTGATGTTACATCTGCATAAACGACCTCTTCTTTTATGTTCTCCGATGTACAGCTTGTGGAATGTCTCTCATCAAGGACCAACAGTAATCTGCCATCGTGTTTGAGTCCCATCGGCCTTGGTAACGTTCTTCCATATTTTTAATGTCTTGATGAAAGCGTTCACCTTGCTCTTCGCTCACGTTACCCATGTTCTCTGGAAACTGGGCCAAGTGACTATGTAAGTAGTGCACCTTGATGCTCATTCTACATCCAAGTGCTTGGAAACTCAAGAGCAGCTCCTTCACAATCTCTCGATAGTTGTCCGCTTTCCTGTTCCCAAGGAAATTCCGCACCACATCAGATAATGCATTCCAAGCTCTAGCCTCTGCCACAGTCATTGTTGTAACAAAGTGTGGATCCCTGATGAGTGTTCTTATTTGAGGGCCATCAAATCTCTGTGGACCTTTCCCGAAAGCTCCCGAGAGCTCTTCTATACCTCGTGACCACCCAGCAGCCCCCGTCCACTGGTGGCCCCCCCACCAATATCATCCGGTCACGTGCCGGCTGGTCAACCAGCGTATCATGCCCCAACGTAACCCTGGCTGGCAGACACTCTCTCTTGCTCCATCACCGGGAGCCCGCACCGCAAACTGTACATGGTGCCCTCGCGCTAACCAGCGCTCACCCAACATACTATCCGCCGTGGCCTCGCAGGCCCGGCACCACATAGTGACATACCCAGTCACTACATTTCCAATATGTTTAAGATATCTCACGACCGCAAATTTTGGCCAATTGGAGTGCTCCTAAGTGCACGGAGTTGCCCTCAGCCAATCAGCGACCCCTTCTTAGCCTAAGCCACACGTATTCTTCACCTAAGGTAATCATTATTTTATGCTCTATTTTGCACCTTTGTATGCTCTATTCATTATTTATCCATGGTTATACTCATATGAATGCTTTGATATGTTCTTAGAATGTATATTTATTACCATTGCTTGTTTAAATATTATAAACTATGTTTTTTAGGGTAAAAAAGGTCAACTTCCGATCGTCTCGGGCAAATTTAACCATTTAACACGTATTTCCTAAATTCGATTAACGATCATTTTAATTACCGGTAGTTTTCGTGGAACCAATTAAAATCATGAACCGAAGGACCACTGTAATATCATCGGATTGTACATATAAAAATGTCTTAATACAGTACATATATAATGTAATTATGACTGCTCTATTTTTGTTCCCCACAGGGCAGATCAATTGTGAAAAGTAAATAACAGCTGGTGCTGTGTGACCACGACCGGAAGAGGAATGTTACGCATCATATTTAGAAGAATTAATTTGCCCTAAAGACTTCAGTAACAAAGATTCGGGCATGCCAGGCTTGCGGCAATAACGACTACATAACAACGATTTAGCCCGTTTCAAGTAGTGAGCCCATGATATGCATCGATTGTGATTGTGTCTATAATCACCCCTTTGCTAACAAAACTGGCAGGCCAATTACATTGAAGCGAAGTTTGAAAAAAAATTGTATTCCTTTTAATACAATCGTATTGACAGCTTTATTTACAGATTGTGGATTTTGTGGTTATTACCTAGAACTGCAACAGCATACTTTCGTGAATGATGTACAAATAATTGCCATTTGTTAAGTGACGCATTTCATCCACAGATCCCACAAATGCGCACCGGGAGATAAACAAAACCTGCAGGCTACACGGTCAGAACTAGGCAGGGGATAATAGCGAATTTACCCACTCACTCACCCACTTACCTACTCACTTACCCATCCACTTACTCAAACACTCACTCACTCACTCACCCACTCACCAACCCCATCGACTCACCCACTCGCTCAGAACCAGGGTAAATGGTCAAAAAATAGCAGATGAAGACCAGTTTACAGAGGTGACTTTCAAAGATGGACAAATATATCTAAAGATTCTGATTGTCTTAGAAAGGGCAAAGCGTTGTTCCAAAGCCGGGGAGCTGCACAGTGGCAAAAGCCCGATCATCCCACTAAATGAGCCTTGACCTTTGAAGAATTAGGTCTCTGTAGGAATTGGTGGCACAACTGTCTCTCTTTATAATACAAACCTCCAGGACAGATGTTTTCAATGGTTATCTAATTCACTTCCATTCCGTATCACATTAAGGATGCATTAAAACCCAAAAACATTAATATACCATATATTCATGATTGATTACATTTAAGTGTGTCTGCAAAAGTGCCGAATTCCGAAAGTCATGATGCCAATTGGCAACGCGACGGCGAGTTACACCGCGACGATTGGCAGCAGTACCGTGGACTCCCGGCTGTTTTACAACATCTTCCAGATTTTCATCCTATTCATGACGGCCCCATCTCTGTGTTTATTTTTCTCTATCACCATCACGATTTTCATCGAAATGAAGCTAAGGGAGAACTCGCGCTACATTCTCTTCGCCAATCTCCTCGCGTGTGACACCTTCTTCCTGCTTTACTCCACCATCATGGCTACTTTAATTTGGCTACAGACGAATTTAAGTTTGACGTCATGCAACGTGAACACCATGGTCAGCACAATTCTGAACCAGAGCGGGGTTATGTGCGTCACGCTCATGTCCGTGGAGCGATACGTGGCCATTTGCCACCCCTTCCATCACCCCCGCTGGTTCAGCCACCGCAAAACGCTTCAGTTCTTGGCCGTAATTTGGTCAATCGCTTCAGTGTTCCCGCTGGCATCTGGAATTCTGGTCTTCACAAGCGGCGTGACCGTGAACAACACTCGGACTTGTTCTTCGTATCTCACCGACAGCCTGATGCCCAACCCCATGGCAATCGCCGTGCTCAGAGAATTCCCAAACGCCGTAATTTTCACAGTCTGCATCATTGCGCTGATCTTCACTTACTTCAATATAATGATGGCAGCTAGAAAGGCGTCCGATGATGTGTCTAAGGCGAAACGAGCCAAGCAAACTGTTGTTTTACATGGCCTGCAGTTGTTTCTGTATCTGTGTTCACTTGGTAACACATTATTTGCAATCCTTTTTGCGAAAATGACATCAGATCCTAACGTGATGACAATATTAAGGTTATGCAATTATTTATTTCTTTATTATAGCTCAAGGTTTGTTGTTCCCTTAATTTATGGAATACGTGATAAACAACTTAGGCAGTGTCTTAGGAAGAAGATCACCTGTCACTACAATAGGGTGACTACATTTTAAACCATGCAAAAAATGAACGTGAATCTTACCATTTGTGTCGTTAAATGCTTTTAAAATTGCATTTCGTTCAAATGCCTAAATATTTGTCTTAGTCTTGGGTCTTTCGGTAAAGTCACTTAGATAGATTCAAAAACTACGACGTTTCGATCACAACACAAACGGTCGTCTTCAGGAAAATTGAAGACGACCGCTTGTGCTGCGATTGAAACGTCATAGTTTTTGTTATTTTTTGTTATTTTCTTTGAACCTATCTACGTGATTTGACCGAAAGACCCAAGAGTATGAATTCCTGCAGTCACGAAAGCTTAATGTCAAGATTTATTTGTCTTAGTATAAATGTATGTTTAACTTCTTTGGCACCATACACAGGCAGCCTCACTAATCAGAGGTGTGGGGGAAGGACAACAAACTAAGCACAAACAGCAGTTCTACAGAAATTAGTTTTCAATCTAGAAAATTCATTTTTAATCCAGAAATTAGTTTTCAAATGAGATGTTCTTTTTTAGGCTGATAAGTTGATCAAATACATGAATCTATTCATATAAAGGAGACTAATGTGGCTTTGTTGAGGTAATATATGTTAATATTGTAAGACCGTAAAGTTGTAGGAAAACGCTTGATGTTAATCCGAAAAAATTGCCTTTACAGGTGTAGTGTTGTTGGACCGGTATGGGGGCTGTAGGCAGGTGTCATGGGGGTCGTCAGGCCATGATACTCTGCGTGAACCCAACAGGACACGTGACCGGATAAAGGGGGGCCAGGGGTCCCAGGGGAGTCACGGGGTAGGGGGGGGGCGTGAACTGGGGCGGGGCCAGCCATGCCGGAGTGGATATAAGCGGTGTGTGGACGAAGAGTGGGGCTGTTCTGCTGTGTCAAGTCTGGGATGAAGCTCTCCGGTCTCCGCTAGTGGACCAGGCAGCATGTCGGGCTGTCCTGGTCCAGTAATGTAATATCCTCGTGTGTTTGTTAAGTTAGAAAGGTGGCTATCACCTTAAGTCGTTATGTTAAGTGTTAATTGTTATGTTACCTAATAAATAGTGTTGCCTCCCAAGTTCCAGTGTGCGCCTGAATTTAACCCATTACACAGGTTTCCCTCCCTTTGTGTGGTAGATGCTTTTCGAAAAAATGGCGTACGTACAGGAGACTCTCGATCATCCGCGTGCGGTTTATCCGATATGCTGATTACCTGCGCACCTGAGATTTTGACATAAATGAATAACTCATGGATTTCCCCTGAAGCCCAAATTAATAACATAAAAACAGTTTTCCATTGTTATTCTTGGAAATGTTATTATAAGTCACGTGCTTAAGCCAAAAAACCATTTGCTCCGGTTAATCCGAAATCTACGTGATCGCCACTCCAGTGGAGTAGTTGCATATATTTATAACAGTAGGTGGAGTTTGATTGATTTTGATTGTCTGTGGCTCTGCTATCCACTTAGTTGTCCAAGTCTTCTGCGCAGGAGCAGGAAAGTGTCAATGAACACGCGCATCGATCGATCGTTAGTAATAATTATAAATCGAAAGAGTAGTAATCGTCAGTTGCGCTTCATTTTCAGTTATTTATCTGATCATTTATTTTGCGAGTTTTCATTTATTTCCCTCATTAAAATGCAAATCAATTTATAACATTTTTGACATGCGTTTTTCTGGATTTTGTTGTTATTCTGTCTCTCACTGTTCAAATAAACCTACCATTAAAATTATAGACTGACTAGCATAAGTACCCGGCGTTGCCCGGGTGAGAAATATATTTCTTAATAACCTTACATATATACACAGATGGGCTGCTACCCCTGCCCCCCCAGCCACGATCTCCTCGGCCGCTGTGCAGTAATATGTACGGCCTATAGTGTGGTGGGGTGTCGAGGCCTAGTCCCGTGCAGAGCCTCCGGCCTCGCCTAAATTGCCCACCCGGCTGAGGCTGGGTACCAGGGCCGTTACCCCCCCCCCCCCGCGCTACAATAATACTGTCTAATCGCTATAATTTAATTATCTACCGACCCTATAATAGTAATTGCACACATTGGGGTGGCGGGGGAGTGAAGAGGACGTGAAACTTTGATGAATTTACCTCAGAGTCGCGTGGTGGGTGTCGAGGCCTAGTACCGTGCAAAGCCTCCGGCCTCGCCTAAATTGCCCACCCGGCTGAGGCTGGGTACCGGGTCCGGTACCCCCCCCCCCGCGCTACAATAATACTGTCTAATCGCTATAATTTTATTATCTACCGACCCTATAATAGTAATTTCACACATTGTGGTGGGGGGGGGGGGGAGTGAAGAGGACGTGAAACTTTGATGAATTTACCTCAGAGTCGCGTGTTAATGCGTGCGCATATTTTTAACGGGAATTAAAAATGGCGTCCACCCCGCAGCGAATGCGTCGCTACCCGTTGCCAGGGGCAACCGCCGTCCAATGAAACTGCGTATGGTCCGGCCACACAGACACACACACAGACAGACCGACAGACAGACAGATTTGCGATTTTATATATATAGATAATTTCTTTGTCAGTGGGCAAACGTACAAAATCAGCAGGGGATCAAATACTTTTTTCCCTCACTGTATCTGAGGCCCCGTATATATAAATATCTGAGTACGGATCTCTATGAGTATCTAGGCATCTATATGAGTCTCTACGAATCTCTATGAGTCTCTCAATATGCATCTCTATGTATCTCTACGAGTCTATGAGTCGAAATGTATCTTTATGAGTCTCTATGAGCCTCTATGCATCTCTTTGATTCTCTATGAGTACCTATGTGTTTCTGAGTCTCTATGTATCTCTACGAGTCTCTGTGTATCTCTACGATTCTCTATGTATCTCTATGAGGCTCTATGAGGCTCTATGGGTTTCTATATCTCTATGTTAGTTTATTAAAGTTGCTGAGCCAGCTGGCCCAGGATTAGCCACAATCTAGCCACCGCTTTTCACTCATGAAACTGGAGAGCAGCAGACTCGGTGTTACTAATATAACATTACAACCAACAATAACATATATAAGAATCACAGTTAAGAGACAAACAACATTCTATATACATTGTCAAAAAGAAGACAATATTCAAACAAATTCAACTTAAAATCTCATCAATGAGTCTCTCAATATGCATCTCTATGTATCTCTACGAGTCTATGAGTCGAAATGTATCTTTATGAGTCTCTATGAGCCTCTATGCATCTCTTTGATTCTCTATGAGTACCTATGTGTTTCTGAGTCTCTATGTATCTCTACGAGTCTCTGTGTATCTCAACGATTCTCTATGTATCTCTATGAGGCTCTATGAGGCTCTATGGGTTTCTATATCTCTGTGTTAGTTTATTAAAGTTGCTGAGCCAGCTGGCCCAGGATTAGCCACAATCTAGCCACCGCTTTTCACTCATGAAACTGGAGAGCAGCAGACTCGGTGTTACTAATATAACATTACAACCAACAATAACATATATAAGAATCACAGTTAAGAGACAAACAACATTCTATATACATTGTCAAAAAGAAGACAATATTCAAACAAATTCAACTTAAAATCTCATCAATGGTCCTCATACTCGATTAGGGACATTGCTGCTGTCCCGATTGCCCAGCCAGGCCACGATTGATTTTAATAATTAATTATTATTTTGATTTCATACACCGTGAGCCACAAACGGGAATATTTGTTTAGCAATGAAAAACATTGCTTAGTTGCAGGGGGGTTTTCTTCCACATGTCAACTCTATCCACACGGCACGAGTCGACATGGCAAGCTGCCACTTGAGAACAGATTCCCGGGGAGCGGCTATCCCTATTTAAGGAGCTCGTTTCCTTGATAGCTGTTGCTACAACAGCGAACCCGATGAGTGCTGCGCGATGTTTTAAATGCACCCTGCGTGTTGCACATTGAGGCAATTAACTGTCACACGCCAAGATATATTTACATGCATGGTGATCATGTACATATTTATATACGGTGTTCTCAAGAGGTGACCAAATGAATGCACTGGGAAATCACAACACAGCTACACGGGTAACACACTTGTTCGGTTGAGCTATAAAGTGTTTGGAAGCACCTAAGAATTTTCGTCTCTTGGCATCTCCATTCTGCCATCTCTGTCCTCATCTCAACTGACTTTATTTGAAAAAAAGTGTGAATGTAATTTTACAACATAACTGCTATCATTATTATAATTGAGTGAGTTTTTATTTATCTGTAATTGTGAGATGCTTTGATGTTGTCTGCCGGACAAGTATTTGGGTCTCGCGGCGGCTAGGAGATGTAAACTACTTCGCCTTGTTTACAGGAGGTCGTGGATTCGATCCTGACCCTGACACCTGTTGTATATTTGGCGTTTGCATGTTCTCTCCGTGGTCATGTGGATTTTTCTCCTCCAGGTTTTCCCCTCCACATTTAGAAACATGCGCTTAGAGTATTTGGCTGCTATACATTTTCACATGATAAGCCACTTCGTTGAGATCTAATTTGTGGCCAGGTCGCTTCTGAAAAAAAGCTATACAGCTCAGTGGGCCTTACCTAGTAAGATAAAAAACATTTGTTTGTATTTTTTTTAAGTACATCATACCTCGCACGTTTATGTGGGTCGTTTGGACGCCGTGCATCCCTGTTCTGTGTTAACGTGGCACCAAGACAATAACAACAACACTGAGTCACTTGATTAAATAATAACTCTTTGAATGCATTTACGCTACCCTGGGAAGGAACAGCCGAGGGATTGACTTTAGGGTAATAGGGAGCGGCGTAGCAACAGAGACGGCAGTGGCGGCTCTATCAGTCGGCACAGACAGACAAACAGAATCTATATATATAAAATCGCAAATCTGTCTGTCTGTTTGTCTGTCTGTCTGTGTGTGTGTCTGTGTGTGTGTCTGTTTGTCTGTGTGTCGCCGGACCATACGCAGTTTCATTGGACGAAATGTGAGGGATTTGCGAGACACGATTGGTCCGGCGGTTGCCCCTGGCAACGGGTAGCGACGCATTCGCTGCGGGGTGGACGCCATTTTTTATTCCCGTTAAAAATATGCGCACGCATTAACACGCGACTCTGAGGTAAATTCATCAAAGTTTCACGTCCTCTTCACTCCCCCCCCCCCACCACAATGTGTGCAATTACTATTATAGGGTCGGTAGATTATAAAATTATAGCGATTAGACAGTATTATTGTGGGGGGGGGGGGGGGGGGGGGGGGGGAACGGTACTCGTACCCAGCCTCAGCCGGGTGGCCAATTTAGGCGAGGCCGGAGGCTCTGCACGGTACTAGGCCTCGACACCCACCACGCGACTCTGAGGTAAATTCATCAAAGTTTCACGTCCTCTTCACTCCCCCGCCACCCCAATGTGTGCAATTACTATTATAGGCTCGGTAGATAATTAAATTATAGCGATTAGACAGTATTATTGTAGCGCGGGGGGGGGGGGGGGAACGGCCCCGGTACCCAGCCTCAGCCGGGTGGGCAATCTAGGCAAGGCCGGAGGCTCTGCACGAGACTAGGCCTCGACACCCCACCACACTATAGGCCGTACATATTACTGCACAGCGGCCGAGGAGATCGTGGCTGGGGGGGGGGGGGGGGGGCAGGGGTAGCAGCCCATCTGTGTATATATGTAAGGTTATTAAGAAATATATTTTTCACCCGGGCAACGCCGGGTACTTA